AGGCATCAAAAATCTTTCCCCGGAGCTTCTCATAACCATCAATGAAAGCATCTAGAACGCCATTCTCCAGGTTCGCCTCAGCCCGAGAAGCTCTTTCTTGAGCAGCCTTTACCTCTGCCTCAAGGGCAGCCTCTCTGAGCATGGCTTTCTCGCGGGTCTTTGCAAGCTCAGCCTCACTGAGCGTGGCCCTCTCACGGACCTCTACAAGCTCAGTCTCGAGCGTGGCCGCCCATGGGCCGTTGAAAGCTCAGCTTCACTGAGCGTGGCCCTCTCACGAACCTCAGCAAGCTCAGCCTTGAGTCTGGCTGTCTTTCCATGGATCGCCGAAAGCTCAGCCTCAAGTCCAGTTGCCCTCTTATGGGATGCCACAAGGTCAGCGTCATAAATTCTGCCAGCACCTTCAAGTTCGGCTATCCTCTCTTGAGCAGCACGAAGATCATTTTGCACAACTTCATGATCATGCTCTAGCTTGTGATAAATAAGGGTCCTTGAAAGTAAACACATAGATGCTGATGAAGCCTAGAGAAAAACAGAAGGCAAAAGAAGGTCAGACACTTACGGAAGGGAGAAATGAGAGAAAATAAACTCTTACCTAAGCCCAGCCTTCTAGGAAAGAGCTAAGAATTCCCTCCGTACCCAAGGCTCCAATCTCATCCACATCTTTCTTGCACAAAAACAACCCAAGCCGATCCTTGATGACCAGTGCATTACCTAACATAGAGCAGATCTGAGAAGGTACTTTGTCAGGGTTCCCCATAAGAGGGGTGGCTGAACGGGGGGCAAAAGATGTGGCCAACAAACGAGACTCTATAGTGGAAGGTCCAATTGAGGGAGTCTTCGCCTGAGGAGACGCCTCTGGAGGAGCCACTTTATAGGAAGGCGCCCGAGGTGCCACTTGAGAAGGTGGTTAAGAAGAGCACGCCTCGGGCAGCAAGGTCACTTAGAAGGTGCCGCGCGTCATCAACTTGGAAGTCTGCTTCGCCACCTTGGAAGGAGGAGAACTCCTATCAAAGAGGCGAGACCCAAGCTTCTTCCTGTCTATAGTTGCAAAGCAAATAAAGTGTTACCTATATGGAAAACACCAAGTAAAAGAGAAAGCTGCAAAGGAACTAACTCACTTTTCCTCTTCGAAGAAGAGCCACTGGACTTCGGGGTAGCACCACCATCTTTGGACATAAGGACTCCAAAGTCTTTTTCAGGATAAGCTCTCACCGCCTCCAACTTCCACTCTTGGTCCGGGGAAAGTACAGGGAGATCTACAAGAGGAATGAAGAGTAAAAAAAAAAATAAGATAAAAGAGAGAAAGTAAGTGTGTGGCATACCAAGTTTTTTAGGGACATTCCATCTACTCGGAATCAAAGTCCTATCCGTCTCTGCAGCCCATTCTCCACCAACAAATAAAAAATGAGATTTCCAGCTATGACAGTTGGACTTCAATCCAGTGATCAGTTTGTCTTTCGTGGTAAAGTAATACCAACCCCGATTGGGAGCAGGGGTCTCGCTCAAGGAATAAGCTCCATGAAACTCCTTCGGAGAAGCATCCTCATGATGCACTTTCCTCCACAACACTACAAAGCATAACAAAACCCTCCATCCATTGGGTGACAATCGCCCCGGGGAGAGGGAAAAGTACTCGAGAATGCTACAAATAGAATGAGACATGGGAAACCTAAGCCCAGCCTCCAGCATCTTCTCATAAATGGCAATGTCACCAGAAGAATCGTCGGATGCAGGCTCACCCATCTCGGCTCGACGACACAGCATAGTCGGAGGAATGTGATAGGTGGAAACAATCTGTAAAATATTATCGTCTGAATTTAAAGTGCTGGAGATAGTACTTACTTTGAACCCATCGTCATCGAGGATTACCTTGCCTCGATGTTTCTTGGCGCGAGGGCGTAAAGCTCTGCCCGAGCCGCTGCCAGAAAGGTCCCAAGGAATTTGATTTTGAGAAGTTACATTTGGAGGAGCTAGACTCCCACCACCAAAAATGTCCATTGCAAGCTGCTTCTTAGTCCCTTGCTCACCCGAAGCTGTTTCCTCACCCAACAAGCTTCCCAAACAAGCGCCCAAAGAGTAGTCCTCCTGCTCGTGAAAAGGCTTGCTCTTCAGCGCCTAGGCTGGAGCTCAAATTACTGCTCAAAACAGTGCCTAAAGTGGCCCAAGACAACCTGCGATACCCCTCATGCTTGCCCAGCAGGCTAGAGCACCTAGGCTACTCGCCCTTGTCCGCATCACCAAACTTGCTCGTCCTTGCCCACCTTTTTCGCTCGCGTACACCACCATTAGCACCTGAAACAACCTGTTTGTCCAATTGGAATGACTCGTCCAGTTGGTCCCGTGCATCAGAGGCGTCAATCTTGCTGTTTGTGCTCCCAGGCAGCTCGCCCAAGCAGTTCGCGCGCCCAGGCAGCTTGCCCAGGCTGTTCCCGCGCCCAGACAACTCGCCTAGGTTGTCCAAATCAGCGCCTATAGGCGCCTGCACAACTCTCCTCTTCCTGATCTGCTCGCCCAAGTCCCCTCTGCTCGCCCCCACCACGCTGGACAACGATTCAATAGATTGGTCAGCTCGCCCAAATGGGACCAGCTCGCCCAAATGGCTCCTTCGCCCATCATGCCTCTTAGACGCCTTGCCTCCTTGGTTCACCCCATCAATATCTTCTTGACCCATGAAAGTCCGAGAAGTGCTTGTTGGCACAGCAGTTTCGGTATGGACTGCTCGGCCACTGCTTGTTTCTTCTTCAATGATAATGGATGATTGCATCTCTACCTCTCCAATCACCATTGATCGAAGAACTCAGTATTCAAACTCAAGAATCCCAAACCTTAGGTCTCCAAAAACCTCACAAAAAGAACCTCCTCTATCAAGAATGAATAGAATGAATGAGAGGATTTTATTTATAACCTAGGGTTTCCTAAAAAAAAAAAATCGAATTTAAAAGGGTGTGTACGCTATTTTGAATGTAACTTTTGATCTGTAACTCCAAACGGGGCTCATAATATGTCAAATCGAAGCTCTCGAAGAGCTCTACAAAAATCATAGCCAACGACAATGAACGACGACAAAAAAAGCCCAAAAAAGGCTTGGAAGTATATGTTTTAGCCTCATAAAGTTTTTCCAATTTTGTCGTTCGGCCAAAAATCCAAACTCAATCGAATGCCCTCCTTTCTAAGTTCCATGAACGCAGGGCATTGAGGGGCAAATGATGGGCCAAGTCTAAGGGCCCACCATGTTATAAGCCTAGTCTGAACTAAAGGTCCAATTCCAAGAGATCCAGTTAGTCAAGCCTAAAAGAGTCTACACCGGAATAACCTTATCAAGGTCAAAGAGCTACATCAATAGGGGAGCATGCACACTCATCTAAGAGCCTCCTCTACCACCTTGGAGTAGCCTCACCCTCATCACCAAGGGAGCATCCAGGAGCCTCAGTCAACCTCTTTTATCCTTGATCAAGTCCTTTGAAGAGCACACCAACTATCACACCTCGCCCGTTGAGAAGATGATAGGTTACCCTAATTACTATAAAACGATCCTAAGCCATAATGACTGTCAGACTAGTAATTCAATTACTACACTAAGCTACAATAAAATGTAAGCCCCTCTAACACTTGGGGGGCATCAGACTCATTTGAGCATAATTCTCTTCTCCCCTCTCAAAGTTTGTAATCATGTGCTCTCCCTCCACATCGGAGATAATAAAATTCTAGCGAACCTAGCCATTCAAAGTGGACGTAGGTCGTATTGACCGAACCACTATAAATCATATTTTCTCTCTCCTTCTACTTACTGTTTTTTATACTACAACTTGACTAGTGGTGTGCAAACTAATTTGTACATCATCAGGTTTGATCTTTCCACTCTCTAACAGTAACATGTACATTGCATAGTATATGGAAAATAACAACAAAGTGAGTTAGAGAGAGGAAGTTGAGGGAATATTTGCTTTCTTACCATTATATGTCTATTATTGGGCTTGATTTAATTGACAATGGGTTCTTGATTATCGATCGCCTGTTTTGACACTCAATATGACAAGTGGTATACTATGTTTTTCAGAGTATGTGTGTAAGAGAGAGAGAGACAGTAGTAGAAAGACACTAGAAAATAGGAGAAAACAGGGGGGTTTAGAATCCTAAATCTTATTGTTGGTTTCAGTTAGTTTAGATTTTATCTAATTTCGAGCCATTTTGTCTCATAGGATCCTTTTTTGTTTTTAGCAACGTTAAACTTAATGTGTCGTGGGGTTTAATTATTTTTGTGGCTTTATGCTATATTCATGTGCTTTGTTTTATTTTCATGTGTCTTGCTTACTACAGTTTGAAGTTTGAACTTTTAAGAGTTCAAATTACATGGATTATGTTTAGATTGATAAGACTTAGACTTGAAGCCTTGAACTTCAATAAATGTATTTTTCTCTACTTAACTCTACAAGTTATACTGAAAATTTAATACATTGAAATTGGATATATGTTTTATAATTTTTCTCTACTTAACTTTATATGTTTGATGCTATTTTTATAATTATTGTGATTTTTTTGCTTATTTATTAATATTTATAATTATTTTTTAATTTTTTATTATATTACCGGTCCGATAGTGATCAAGCGGTTGAACCAGTGACTCATTGACCCGATCCCTTCATTAAATTAATGTACGAACCGAATTTTAAAACTATGGATAAAAGTGTCATTGTCCAAAAAATATCTGGTACGAATGCAGCAAAAAGCCCAAGCCGCGGACAGCAATAGGGCCAAGCCCTAGCTGTGTCGAATGATCCATAAGGCTCGATCTACACCAAACAGAAACCACCGCCGCGGACTCAAAGCCCATACTCAACGCGCAAGAATTTAAACAACAGCGTAGGAGGGAAAATCAAAACAGGGGTCATTCCCTCTCCTCTCTTTCCAGGTTAGGTTAATCTACGACTACGAGGCGAACTTCGCTATAACCCTCATCCACAGCTGAGTCTCCATTAATCGTTCGCTGTTTCTATGCAGAGATGAATGACAAAGAGAATGTTCACACCGGAGGGCTATCAGAGGATCAGAAAGCTCGAATTTCGGAGAAGTTCAGAGCTGCCAAGGCTCTTCTTGTTCGCAAAAGGCCCCGTGAAATCACCAACTCATCTTCCGATCAATTCGTTCAAAAGTAAGCTATTCTACAATCATTCGTACCCAGTAGAACGTAATTTGAATCAGAAAATGATTTGCATGCAACGCTAAAAGTGCGGTACATAATTGATGTGTTTTTTGTTTTTTCCCCCAGCATTGGTTAATGCAACTGTTTGTTAGATGGATGAATACATAGTTAGTGTTTTATGTGACTTACGGTGGAAATTTGTTGTTTTAGGAATGGGATTGCCAACAGAATGGAAAGTCCGGCCGAGGTTACTGGCATTAAAAGACTCCCTCTCTCGGAGATTTCAACAAACACACCATCTCTGGTTTCCACAAAGAGATTCAACTTATTGAGCAATGATCCCAAAAGTTGTTTAACTTCTAAGTCCTTATGTGTCAATACGAGGATGGATAGTTTGAGCTCAAGCACTTTAATTGTCACTACTGAATGTGGAATAGCGTCAAATTCATTTGAAACTCCGGTAACAAAACTGGAATATAATGGCAATTCATATTCTGATGGCAATTCTGGTACTACAGCTGAATCTGTTCATGGCAGTTTAATTGAAAGGGAAAAGAGTGTTCTTAGGGAGGATGGCTTTGCGTTAAACAGTATTGTTACTCCATTGAGACAACTGGATTGCTCTAGTTCGAGTGATTCTTTAAGGTTGTCTGGTGTTTTAGATGATGATTTTGATCAGTCCATCTTTAAAGATATTGATGCTTTATGTGAGCAGACCTCAGCGGGGAAATCTCGAAGGGAGAATTTGATCCCTGATTTTCGAATGCAAAATCAGTCTGTTGAAGAAAGTAGTGGGGAACTTTCCAGTGTTGATTTAAGTGATCACCAAGAAGTCGGAGAAAGGGGATCGTGGAATTCTGAGGCTACACCAATTGGAGACATGCCTGATGAGCATGCAAAGTATATGCAGTCTTTAAATGACAGGCAGCGGGAAGCGGCTTGTACTGACATTTCAATGCCTTTAATGATTGTAGCTGGACCAGGAAGTGGGAAGGTCTTTATACAAACACTTTCTTTTGAAATTGTAAATCCACCTATTTTTTGCGGTTAAAGATTGCTTTGTCTGTTTTTGATGTCAGACTTCTACAATGGTTGGGCGAATTTTGATGCTGCTCAGCAAGGTAATACTGTATTACTGTGCAAATATTCAGTTCACGTTTCTAAGTTATTTTTCAGACAGGGCTGCAGGCATTTGGTAAAAATGAGAATATTGACTTTGATCTGTGGTTTCTTCCTCCCGCTTCTCTGCTGTGAAAAATTTCTAGGGCATTGGACCATCCCACGTTCTTGCCATGACATTTACTACAGCTGCTGCTTCTGAAATGAGAGAGCGCATTGGATCTGTGGCTGGCAAGGCAGTAGCAAAAGAGCTCACAGTCAGCACATTCCACTCATTTTCGTTGCAAATCTGTCGTACACATGCCGAGAAGTATGCATATTGTGAAATTGTTGGGGAAATTCTCTAAACAGGAATGCAATGATGTTTTATGACCTTAGATTTCTATGGCTTGTAATAAACAATACAGCGTGCATAGACTCGTGATAACTCGCGCCTAGCAGAAAGGTCAAGATTAATAAGTTCTGACATAAAGTGACCTACCAATTACATTAAATCATCTTAGATTCTGACACGATTAACTTAGTGATTGAATCTTGCATGTCATATGCTGCTTAATGTCTCCAACTTAGTGTGTGTTTTGTTGCATAACATAGTGTAAGTTTATATATTTTTTGAATATGGCATATTGTCTGGATGAGATAGTTATTGATATGTTCTTTTCACCAAGTACTGTCTGGTGACTAGTAACATGAATCCTAGGCTAGGTTTTGCACAAGTTACATGCAGGCTTATGCTTGAGATGTGTTTTCTGTAGGCTTATAAATCTGTTTTCTGTATTCTCTCCAATCACAATGGTTGGTGTTTTTACATATCTTCCTAAAAAATTGTTGACCACCACGTTCCTAACTCATATTGAGATAATAATGTAAACTCAACGAGAAATGAGTATTTTGATTGGAGAGCATATGAGCTTTTTTTTAGGTTTTACGAAAGCTTTTTATCCAAACCTTATTAAGTTACTGTTAATTCATTTACAACATGGATAACAACATACTAGCCCATCCACTAGGTTGGATCGCACACCTGAATTTCTAATTTACGGGCATGGGCAACAGAGAAGAGCTATCATTGAAGCTATGCGCATATTGGAAAATGGGAAAGAGGGGCAAAATCCTGATTCTTGTAAACTTGGTAAAGAGTCTAATAGCATAAATTCTCCACAACATTTCAAAGACAAGTCAAAGAAGTGGCTGAAGTTTGTGACTCAGGTAAGTGATTTGGTTACTATAGTACTGTATGATATTGACATTAAATTTTTATGACAAATAATCTTTAGATTTATACCTCATTTTCTTCCGAAGTGGATTGGTTCTCTTTATAATTGTACTCGGTTTCTGTTTCCCAGTTTCCATTAACTGGCAAAGTATATTGGTGAAGTTTTATTTCAGTAGGATGTCCATGTTTTCTGACCTCTAACCACGTAGTAATTAAATAGTTTCTCGAACGTGATCTGGTCAGTAGTTTACTGCAATCTGTATGGTCAAAAGATTCGAGTTTGCAGAGGAATTTTTGTTACTTCTGACTGAAGTTTATCTGATCTGGCTTTCCTAGTTTACAAATGTGTGATAATTTGGTGTCTGCTTCAGTAGTTTCACATGTAACAGTTCAATGTTAAGAGGTCTATTTTGAATGGACATTTCTTCTGTTTCTTACATGAATGGATTGCTTGATATTGCCGAAGAGAAGTCTGCAATTTTTAATGTGTTTAGAGGAAGAAGTAGATCATAGAAGGGGTGGAGATGCTATGAATAAGAATGCAAATTGAGTTTTCTTGGTCTTGGACTCACAGACTTTGGATGGAATATACTTATTAGGAAGATGGGTTCTTATCCTTTTGTGCTTGACAACAAAATGAAGTGACCATAAATGCTTGACAACAAAATGAAGTGACCATAAATAGGATGTGCTGTGAAAATCATCAAAACCAATAAAGTTCTATTTTTTCTAGTCATAAGTTTTTGGGATACCAGATTTACTTTGATTGTCACTGCAATTTCATGTTATTTGTGCATTTTCTACTAGAATTAATACCATTTTTGCCACATTTCAGGCTAAAGCTGCTGGAAGGACTCCTGAAGATTGCCATAAAATGGGTGATGTGATAGGTGTAAGTTGATAAAAATTTACTTTGAAATCTTCTTTGTCTACTTTTTGGTTTGTGTTTCACTATTCTTAGCTGAGAACCTGGATCAGGCTTCAATTCTTCAGAACTATGATGACATACTGAAATCTTGCAATGCTCTGGACTACCATGATTTGATCAGCTGTTCGGTGAAGCTGCTCACTGATTTTTCTGAAGGTTCATATTAGCTGTATATACAAAATGGAACGATGGAACTTCACAATTTTATCATTTGTTGACATATACTTGTCTGCTTCGTTTGAAGTTTTCAAGGAATGCCAGGAGTCATGGAAAGCAATCGTAATAGATGAATTTCAGGACACAAGTGCCATGCAATATGGTCTGCTGCAACTTCTTGCATCCCATAAACGCTTAACTATTGTTGGTGATGAAGATCAGGTGCTGTTGATGTTTGGGATCCTTAATTTTGAAATTAAGAAAAACCATTTGGTTCGAAAATTCAGATTTCGCCCTTTTTTTCCAATGGAAATATAATTTGTAGATTAATACCACTATTCTCATTTTGAATGTTCTGTCCATCGTTTTTGCAGTCGATTTTCAGTTTCAATGGTGCTGATGTATCTGGATTTGAATCATTCCGTAAGGATTTTCCTGTTCACAAAGAGGTTTGGCATTCCTTCCACAGCTACTTTTATTCTTGAAACCTTTTTCTAGGTTGTTTATATGTTGCCTATCTATCAAATGTCTCAACTTCTTGGTTTGGGTTTTTTCAACTGTGTTAGTCTAAACAAAAATAAATTTTATTCAGATTCGACTAAACAAAAACTACCGGTCAACTCGTTGTATTGTTGAAGCAGCATCAGCTCTTATAAAAAATAACTTAAAGAGATGCCAGTCAAAGAATGTTCTCACTGATAACTCTTGTGGATCCAAGGTACATATTCTTAAGAGAAAGTTAAGATTTTTCTCAACTCTGGTAATGAATTCTACATGTTTTGGATGTCATTATTCAGATAGCTATCAAGGAATGTAGCAACGAGGACGCACAGTGTGCATTTGTTGTGGATAAAATCTTAGAAATTACTTCTGATGGTTCAACTGGTAAATGCTCCTTTGGCAATATTGCTGTTCTTTACCGGAGGCAGGTAAATTAATGCTTTTTTTATTTCAGTTTTCTTGAAACGAATTATGAATATTTGTTAAACTGCTTATGGCCTCATGTTCTATACAACAGGTGTCAGGGAAAGTGTTCCAAACAGCCTTCCGCAATAGAAAAATACCGTTCAACAATCATGGTGTGGCCTTCTATAGGAAAAAGGTTGCCAGCATCCCTGCTTTCAATTATGAAAATGTTTCAGAGACTTCTATACATATTGAATTTTATGGTCAATTGACTACTTTTCAAACTTCTTGAACTGTGGTGAAGTTTGGGATTGTTTTAGAATGTTAAGAGAAACTGTCGGTCGACATGGCGACCAGGTGAATACGAGTTTGCAGTCTTTTTTGCTTGATAGAGCTATAAGATCACATTAGGGTGAAAACGTGGATAAATGAGGGACAAGGAAGGTGCTGGTGCTCCATCTTATCTTTCATATGATTTAAAACTTCAAAAATTTACTGGTTCACTAAAACTTGCATAATCATTAGAAAATAAAATGTAATCACACTTGTAGGATAACACCTGACAACACTCCACCTCAGAGATGATGTAGAAATACTATCTCCTTGCTTTTTTGGTGTGTTACACAATTTTGGAAGTTCAAGCTTGCTTTGTTATGACTGAAGAGTTGTGCAAATAGATGTGATGGAACAGAATATTGAAAGATTTGTCCTCCCTTCAGTCTGCCACTGTGAAGCAGAATCGACCTTCTTGAATTCTATTCTATGAAGTTCAGTTACTTGGTCAACATTGCTCTTGTCTAGCTTGCTGCCAGATAAGGATTCATCATATCAATGTTTAACAAAGGAAGCATCTTCAATCAACATCTCTTTCCACACTATCAGTTTTATCTTAATTCATTGCACCCTCAATTCACTGTTATCTGCTCCTCCAGCTCACAAGAGTTCACACACAATGCAGTACTCTAAGGTGGTTTTGTGATCTTTTATGAAGATATTGATTGTTGGTAACTTGGTATCTTTCGATACACCAAATCATAGGTAGCCTAATATCAGTACTGTTGGTGTCTTGTTACCAATCAAGTTCAAAACAACTCAGCCAAACAACCGTATTTCAACTACTCGGGATCGGCTAAGTGAAGCAATCAGGTTTCTCCTTTGTTCTCTATTGTGATTCTCCTGAGTGTTGCACTAGGGTACCTAGCTTTGGCTGATTTGTAGAAAGTTCTTTAATGTCCCAAACTGTTGATATGTAATATAGAATGAATTTTATTAATGGAATTAATGTGGTAATCGTGCTTCATTATACCTGTCTTACGTTGATAACCATGCTTTTTCTGACAAATGTTTTGATAAGCGTCGAATCAGTGCTAGCATGACTATTGGTTACTGACTAAGTGTTGTCTTATGGGCAGGTAGTTAGAGCCATTATTGCTTTGCTTAGAACAACATTGGCTGGTTGTGATGATGGCTCTTTTCGTCAAGTATTCAAGGCTTTTCTACCTTTTGAGAAAGAGGAAAAAAAGAAGGTAAGGCATTATTTAACATTCATTGACTGTGTTTGTAGCTGAAGCCTGCATGAAACCCTCATTGTTGGGTTCATCACATCTTTGTTCTTCCCTTTTTTCTCTTTTCAGGTAATTGAACATATCGACAAAATTTCAACTGTAAGGAAATGCAGCTTTTTATTGGCTGCATGCGATATATTTAATGCAAAGATATCTGGTACCTTCAAGAGGTTAGCTTGAGGACTTTTTCTTGGAACATTTGTCCATTTGGTAGATGGGGATCATGTGTCATATTTTTGAGAATTGTAAAAGTAAAGTTTGTTGTTCCGCTGTGGCATTCATGTTTGCTCAGTATCCTAAAAAATGATACTGTTGCCCTGTCCTTCAATTTCTTCCATTCACTAAATAATGAACTGAATCTAATGCTTCACTCAATGATTTTTTTACTAGATAAGCATGGACTATATCTTATCTGCTTCCCTTACAATTATTATAATTGTTCATGTGTATCAGTGATTCAGTTGTGGTCTAGCATGCTTGCCTTGTAGGGAAGGTTTATTTTCGTGGTGGTCTGTCACTCTTGGTCTCACCATTAAGTTCTGAATCCTAAATTGACTAAAAAGATGGTAAGATATAAGAAAATCTCAGTTGGTTCGAAAAGAAACTAATTCTAGAAGCAGTTACTAATCCCCAGACTGGTCTTATAATCTTATGTTTCATTTTTATTAACTCGAGCAAAACTGATGCATGTTAAATGGGGTAAGATTCAGGATTTCAACCACTGCCTCCATCTATTTGTAAGAGGCTGCTCTATATGGAGGGATGATGGTCCTTCATTCTTGGATGTGTTCTGGTGTAAAGTAGTTTTTCTGCAGGCTTTCTCCATCTAGGAAGTATGAGAGTTGGTGCAGCTATACAATGTACACTTAGATTTCTGCAAGGTTATATTTTCCTTATTGTAATAGTAGTAGCACCAGTGTTGGCACAGAAAATTAGTGCAGGCTTTTACAAGATCTTCATTTTGTCCCTTTCTTTTGTTTTTTGTATTTGCTGTCTTTTGGTTCTATTTGTGCTTACAATTTTTGTAGGTAGACTGGTACAGGATGTTTATTTTCATAGCAATATACTTAAATTTGCTCTGTATTTTTTTATAGGAGTCAACTTACCCAAGGACGCAGGGTGTTGCTAACTCTTGACATGATATCAAAACTTGTTCACAGGGTAACTCCACTCAGCCCAACTTGACTGGATTATTATTGAAGATGACACCAAGTTTATGTGTGTTGTTAATATGAAATTGACTGCATATTGTGGGGGAAAACATTTGCAACTGATTACGTTTTGTGATGTGATTTTGACTGATCTATTTTGCGTTGCACAGTACTGGAGCCTTTGATTGCATGCAACTTTAGGCCACATCTTATTATTTTATATTAAAATTTTGCTTCTGCAGTAGTGCACTGAGTTTACTAGCGGGAGAGTTGGATCTAGATATATATTATCAATACTTTGGGTGGTCATGAATGGCCAAGAACTCTTTCTTTTCATTTCAGCTACTAATATTTGAAATAATATTCTAGTGGAGCACATCTTACTCATTGATGCCTACAGGAACAATCAATTTCAGCTGTCATAACTTCAGCAGCAAATATGATACCTCAGGTTTGTCTTGTTTTTCTCCTACCTATTTGAGTAGAAACAACTCCTCAGGCTTAATAAATGCACCTCAAATACAATGGGCTTCAACTATGCTGGAATTACTTTCTTCCTGTAATATTTTTTCTTGATATATCTTTCTGGTGGACTCCAATGAAGATACGAACATGATCTTTGTTTATGCAGAAATGCCTTCTTGAAAAGCAGGCAGTTCTTGATGTTGATGGAGGGAAGTTGCTAAATGAAGACAATGACGTTAGATCTGTAAGCAGGACTTTTTTTCAATGCAAATCTTGTTTCTACTTTAATTGTCCATGATGTTTTGACTTTCAGACTGATGGATTTTTAGCCTCAAAATTTTAATTAGTCTCATCTTGTCATTCTTTAATTGTGCATTGAATGTTCAGTTTGTGTATAATATGCTGAATTTGGTTGGCCCACTGTGCAGGTGCTCCAATATTTGCTGGATGATGTTTCTGAGTTTCTAACAACACATTATATCACAGTACAAGGAAAAGGAGATATGTTAGCAGAAGATAAAGGCTGTACTAATGTACTCGAAGCTTTTATTGATTACATATCTGGAAGGGAGAGAGAAAATTTCCGTTCCAGGAGACATGACAATGAAGATTCTGTTACTCTTACTACAATACATCAGGTTTTTCCACTCACTAAACTGCCACATGTTTCTTGCCCCGGGGCCCTGCAGGGTGGGCTATTTCTTTTCAAGCCGATGTCTGTGGAGGCTTTTGTATTGTTTTTTTCTTTTTTACTTCTTAATCCCTTTCTTTACCTTCCCTTGCAGTCAAAAGGCTTAGAATGGGACTGTGTTTTCATAGTAAAGGTACTTCACTGTGTCCATTTCTGCTGCTGACCTTTTCAACATCTGTCATTATGGAAGTTATCCTTCCCATACTAACTTCTTATTATAGTCAATGTTGTATTTCAACTGTAATTCCACTTGGCCAAACACCACTTTGAAAATTTGGCCTGGACTACGGGAGTGACTTGTACATATTTGTTTCCCGCACCCATCTTGTGCAAAATTGATGCCAAAATTTCATTTGCCTGCTCTACTGAACACCTAATAATTTGATTGAGGAGAAAATGCCTTGTTATCAATAAATTGAAAAGGCAAAACAATAGTTAGTCAGACAAAAAGTCATATGCATTTTACAACGAAGAGTATCTCAACCTTACGGTCATTTTTGAAGCGCAAGATGCTCTTTAACAGAGGTAGAGTAGTGTGGGTTCAAGTCTTTTGGGCTGCCTAAATTTGAGAAGCCAATGTTTATTCATCTGTGTCCAGGAATTAGATTGAAGTGACTGGTTAATGTATAGGAATGATTGGCCAGAGGCTGGGGCTGCTTCCTTCTCAACATGTCCTTCATGGTTCAGCGCAGTATTGGCTGTCGACTCGAAGAGTTCTGAGATATATCGGTCACAGCATCGCGTCGTGGTGTAGGGTGATACGACTTAAAAGAAAATGTTAAACATGATGAGAGATTTAGGTCATATCGCAGCGTTGCGGAACAGTATCTACCAATTCGGTGATAATAACTTGGGGACTCGGATACAATTTAGACGACTCGGTCGAATTGTGCGAGACTCAAGGTTTATATGTATCGTGTAACGGTATTGTCTCGAAAGGTGCCGAATCAGATACAACTTGATCAACTCATATCGGTATCGGTATCGATTGATACTTTGAACCACGACGGCCTTCCTTGTGTGTCGGAGATATAAAGCAAGTGCACCGGAAAAGAATGATAACTGGGTCAATCTATTCTATGGCGAAGCATCTGAAGCATAACTGCACACTCACACGGTCTTTGTCAGAGATAGAGTATTCGGTGGAACCAGTGAACTTAGACAATATATTGGAGTGTGGTGTTGAATGTACTTTCGAAACAAAATAGGACTGACAATATGCATTCTGAAACATTTGGCAAGGAGACGGATATTAAAAACGGATTGGAGAAAATAGTTTTTAACTTGCAATATGTTGAAGGAGAGACTTCTCACAAAATCACAGTACTGTTGAGCTCTACTTGTGGTGATAGAGGATTGATGTCTGACTTTATAATTACTTGATACTTTGCTTTTTGAATGGTCTTGAGAAAATCTTTTCCTAAAACTTATAACCACTTTTTCTGGTTAGAAGTTGTTATAAGTGGCACTAATGCTTGGATCATGATTTAGGCAAATGAATCTGAGATTCCCTTGTTGCATGAATTTAATGGTGTTGCACAAGAAAATGGTACCTCAGTTGAGGTAAGCACAATCCAGTATTTGGATTTCCTTTGCCTTTAATGTTATCATTTTTTTTTGCATATATTAGCCTTAGTAAAGGAAAACTTCTTTCAAATACTAAAATTTTTATTTTCTTCCGGTGATCTTAGGAGGAGCGACGCTTGTTATATGTGGCGATGACTCGAGCACGGAAAAAGCTTTTCATCCTATATGTTATTATGGATTCAAATTGGCAGGTCAGATCTACGAAACATTTTCCTAGTACTATGTGTGAATAGCTTGGATGGGAAGACTTCATGGGTCACTTCCTTGAAGTCCCACGTATAATTCTCCAAAGAGAGCCTTGACTCACCCAATGTGTGGTTTGTGGGTGATTGTGTACATTGTCATGAGTTCAAAGGGCGTGTCGTTGGCATTTTTTTATTACTAGAAAAACAGTGTTCTGATGCTCCATTGGTCATTTAATGTTCTGTTTGGGTGACAATTTAGGCTCTTGCAGGTTCTTCAACCATCACGTTTTATAAGAGAAATTCCGGATCATCTTCAGGAGGTTCAGGTGTGCTTTACTACCAAATTTCAAAATTTTGGGTTGTCAACGTTAGAGTTGTACTAAAAATATATAAAGATCCATGTATTTCTTGGCTCAAATGTTTTGCATGGGATATAACTCATGCTTGCCAATTACATAACTACTATCTATTTGTAAGAAAGATGATGGTTAAAGCTTCCGTCTCATCTGTTTTCTAAAATCTTCTCTTTGATTTTAATTTTTGAAACCTCTAATACAACTTCTAGTGGCAGATATCGAGTATTTGATGATTTTTCTGGTTGGGTCTCTATCATTTTAGTTATTGGTCTTCAGCAAAAGTGAATGGTTGATTTTTTATTTGCATGAAGTGGAAATAGTACAGATTTTATGAACTTTCTCTATTGTTATTCTTCTGCTATGAATTCCAACTGTTGCGCAGCCTAAATATTAAATGACATGGTTCGGGTTGAAGGTGGTCCAACGGTAAGAGGATGTTTTAAAATAGGCATAGTTGAGGCTGTGAAAAAATAAAAAGAAACTAAGCACACAAAATATTTCAGATTCCAACAGTAAATGGATCCATAATCATGTAGACTTGCAAATTTACAGGTGCTCAATTTTACATGGATCCATGTATTTCTGTAGACATGGTCAAATTTTATTTCTGAAGCTGTTTCATAGAGATCATCCAATCATTTGCAGAAGCCAAATCGATTAAATTGTTAAACTTTCTGTTTCTTCAGACTTTTGAAAATACGTAAACTCTGCCTGTTGGCATCTGGTTAACTCTAATATGCATGACATGTATTTGTACACTTGCTGTATTTGCGGACCATGATAACATTCCAGCTGAGTATGTGTTGGAAACTCCAAAGCTAGATGTTCCTTACTGAGTATTATGTCTAAGATGTTGATTCAGTGATGTACTTGTTTAAGCACAACAGCATATCAGGACTGGTGAAACAACCAATTGCAGAAGAACGAATGATGTTTGACAGTATGAGTGAAGGAATTAGTATTCCATACACGGGTTCCCTTGACCAAATATCGCACATTGTTGTTTCTGAGGAGACATCACTTGCCCTTTGATTTCAATCTTTCATTTTTATACATTTTTGCAGTCAAAATGGTGTTAACTTTGAATTCCTGTGATGCTCAACATTCAAATGCTTCTTTTTGAATTCTTTTCGACGTTAATCGCTTATCTTCTTGGTGGATGGCCATTCTTATGTAGGGTGATCTAAATTTAAGAAGTTTGCAAACAAATCACCAGCAACCTCAAAAAACAACTTCCGAGTCTAATGCTGGTCTACCAAGGGAAATGGAATCTTCAGAAGTGAATGTGGTGCTAAATGATTCTATTAATATAGATGACGCATCCAAAGTGTCTGTCGAGGGAATTGAGGCTTGCAACGGAAATAGCTTTTTAAGAAGGTTCTATCCAAATATTGATGTGATGGGTAGCATTTTGAATTAAAGGCAAAATATTTCTAACTATTACGCTAATAGGACTTACCTTTTTATTGATTTATCTATCATGATTTTGCAGATTTAGAACGGAGGACCGTGCAGTTGTTTCCCATTTGTTCCATCAATGGGCTAAGAAGGCAGCATTTCAAGACCCAAATAGGTTACTTGACAAGGTGAGTTTTAGTCAACTTTTCTTTATTTTTTCCTTTGTGCTCTGCTACGATCTGCTGATGTGAAGGACACAATTTTTTTCCTATTTCCTTTCTATGTGTTGGACTGATTTATTCAGATACATCTCTCCATTTAATCATGGAATTACTTCTGTGCATGAAAGTATATAGATTATAGGTAAAAAAAGTTGAGCCAAGGTGACGTTTTTTGGTTGTCTGCTTTTGTTTTCGAGTCCCATTTTTCCCTTATTTTACTTCCTGCCATTTCTTTCTCGTCAAACTATTCAAACTTGTATTCATTCAAAATTGGAAATAACAACCAGCATTTTGATTACACTCATCAGGCATATTCTTTATCATCAGTGACTATGTTGCTTAGAATTATGACTTAGCAATATGTTTTGCAGCCTTTATGGTGCTTTAAGTCTTTTCATTTCCTATGCATACTGCACAGGCAATTTTCTTGCTGTATGTGGATTTGGTTGTAGACGTCCATCAACAAAACTGACTTGAATATTGTTCCTTGTTTGTTTGTGTTTTAAGAAGTCATTTGGAAAACCTTCAATTTTGTTGCCTTTGGCTCTTCCCCCGATGGAATTCCTGCATTGAGACATTCTCTCCAGTAGTGCATGGTAGTGGTCTTGAAAAGGGATATGCATTCACAATGTTGCTGCTTACATATGTGGCATCTGTATGAGAGTTTTCATTTTTTCACTTAAGTTGTGAATTCATCTCTTGCCGGATTGTGGGGCTAGATTGCTTGAGCTTGTAGTTATCCCCTTCTTTATCTGGCCTACCTAAAGGCAATATAATGTAGCTAACAATATTATAGATGAAATCGAAAACTTAATGATTTCATTATAACATGGAACATTCAAAACAAGATTATCAAGCAAAACATATGGCTGTACAAGAGGAACACGAAATATTGTATGTTTATGCTCACTCTCTCAGTCACTTTCAAAATTGCAGTACAATGTGATGCAACGGGATTTTGGTAAGTGTATATGTTTCATGCAATTGTATTTACTGGTTGTCTTTTTGTTTGATTCAACAATTTTTACAGGTTGCCTTTGTCATTGACGAGCGTATGAGAGGCCGGAAATGCACACACAAGGTTGTGCGGCTTAATCCTTTGTCTTTTGTGAAATACATCTTTTTCTTCCTCTGTGTCCCCATATGAAATTAGACCATTTGATTCTGTTTTTTACGTCTTTGTCTCTGTGCCTTCTGGAGTCCCAAACTCTCTCTAATAACCCTATGGGAAGTGTAGTTGGAAATTAAATGAACAGGACACCTGGGAGTTAACAGGATCTGTCCAGTGGGATTAATATAATTTAATGATCGCATAGTAAACTTTGTAAATACAATTCTGCTGTGTTGCTTGAAGCAAAGTCGCAAAGATTGTAACTTAGGGGTGTGTCTACAATTAGATTTTTTCTCCTTCAGGTTAATCTCATGCACATACACGGACATTTGGTCTTACCCATGCATGTCTACTCAGAATTAGATTACCAAATAATTGACTCTTCCATAATTTTTCAGGAAGTGTTGCGTGCTTTGAAGTCCGACTTAAGGTGTGATGAGGCATTTCACTATGCTGAATATGTAAGTTTTACCTTAAAAATTTGGAAAGTTTTGGTTGTAGCAAGTATATGATATGCATCAAAACACCCCCACCAAGCTTAGTACATGGCGGCTTATCATCAGAGGGAATACTTATTGCCTTTATTATGCTATAACAAAAGTGTGCACAAAAATAAAGTTGTAACCATTGTCCAGAGTTCTTTTTTAATGATTTTTTTTCTTCTTCCCAACAAGGTTATAAAGTGGGTGCAAATTCCTTCTGATAGGCGTGCTTATCTAATGAGGGAGAAACAGGTAAAGTGGCACAAAACATTTTCATGCAATGAGAAATTCATTCATTATTTTTTTTCAATCGACTTTTTCAAGAAAATTGCTAATATACTAAACATTAAGCATATAATTGATAAATCTGAAATACCGAATGTACCTATAGTAGTTTGGTATTGTTGCGTATGATCATAAGTTAATTTTAAACTTACGATTTTTGTCTAGGTATAAATTATGGATGTAATTGTTATCTGTATTTGATTGTCTTTCTTGCTTATTGTATATGCGAGAATGCACACTGCGTACATACAATCACAGACACGATGCATTTTTTTTCTTTTTTTTTTTTGTTTCATGCATCTATCCATAATGTTTCTTTGATATAAGTGTAAGTGTCCTATTTATTCTATTTTTTTCCTCTTTCAGGAACATTTTCAAAAACTAAGAATCGAGAACGCAATGGGCTCATCAGCAGCTACTTCTAAACAGGTAATCAACATTCGCTCATTGATTTTATTCAGAATCTCGCAAGTGCCCCTCTATGGTGAAGACTCATTCATGGTATGGTTTAAGGAATTAAGTATCAATCTATGGCAGTTTTGAAACAAAATTATCAAACTACGACATTTTAATAAAAGTGCCGTCGAAGCAATCTCCGACCAAAGCATTGAACACGTTTGAACTTAAAAGTGGCGTTGTTGACCTCACTTTTTAGCAAAAGCAGGTCTATTGACATTGCTTTTTTTTTTTTTTTTAAATCGTAGTTTGATAATTTTGTTTAAAAACTACTTTAGATTAGTCATTAATTCATGGTTAAAGTTTATCAGGATGAGTGTCTAGAGCTTCATGAGATAAATACTACATGAACTCTTTCGAACTTCGTTTCTACAAATGTGCATATTTTTCTGCCTTTACGTTCATCGTCGTCAACATATTAACAAAGCTCAAAGCAATTGTGATTTAGACCTTTGTTTTCAGCTCCTAATAATGCACTGCAGGCCTGAGCCCTCAGTTTCATAGATGAAACCACGCAACAATTTTCGTTCCTCTTTTTCGATAGCAAATAGAATTAATTTCAATGAAGGCCAGTGGTTATTATCAATTCGATTCCCCATAGATATATCATGTTCAATAAATGCATATTAAAAAAAAGTGGAGTGAGCTTATATTATACGTTAGAAGATTAGGATCACCTTTGGTTGATTTAAGCTCACTCTACTCACCGACCATTGATTTTAGGATTCATTTTTTGACTTTCTGGGTAAATTTACCTTGTTATTATCTCTATCTAGTTTTAGCGTTAATTTGAGATGCCCAACCTTATTAGAAACAATAAAGAGTGAATTTCACTTTGTACCCTTAAAAATTATTTTATTTTTAATGTACTAAAAATGTAATAATATTACTATTTGGTTATTCATTTTGTTGTTGTGATTTTTAAGAGAATAAGTAACAGAAGTTAATGGAATGATCATTTTATAATTCTTTTAATATTTTGAGAGTATAACGTGAAAAATTTAATTTTTGAAGATATGATAGGAGAAATCTTAAATCTTTTGGCGTATAAAATAAGATTATTCCCACAATAAAACAAAAATTACATTTTATTGCAATGGAACAATGGTGAGGTGAATTATATTTCGTACTCTTTTCAAACTAATTGTTTTATATGTTTCTCCTGTTCAATGGCAGATCGGATATCTAAAGAATTTAGGGTGCACAGTGGTCCCCACATCCCGTCTCCATGCTTCTCATTTGATTGAACAATATAAATCACTGTAACAAAGAGATGGCCCTTGGCCACTTTTTACTGGTCCATATTATTTCTGATGGGATTTACCATTGGACGTCATGTGTATAATTTATGTTCATTAATTTAAATTAAGATATTTATTTGAAGGGTAAGTATCATAATTATTCAAATTTTATGTTTTAAAATGATTTTTGAACTCTTAATTATTTCAATTTAATTATTTAATGATCAATTTTGATAGTTAAAGTTTTTTGTCAATTTCACCTGTTATGTCTCTATTTGTTCTAAAAGTTCAAAAGAGTAAGTATTAATTTATTTATTTATTTTTTTTTTTTTTTACCACTTGTCTAGTTGAATACTAGAGTTTGACGTGCGCTTAGAAGGCATCTACAGATATTTTATGTCCAATTATTCCTTAGAATCGATGTGCCTTCAACTGTATGACATCTACCACTTTGTTCGGGACCTTGCCGTTCATAGCAACAATCAAGTAGCGTACATTTTTACGGATTACCTGAACCAGAACCAGCCTTCCATCATTTTTGTGGCAAACTGCTCCTACTATAAAAAATAACATATATTATTGAGGTCATACAAAAGGTAAATAGTTTTTCAAAATGCGAGTCCGTGGCGGCAGAAAAACTAATTCTGGACCATATGTGGGCGTGGGCGTGGGTGTGGGCGTGGGCAGTTATAATTTTAATGAGCAGATTATGTACAGAAAATAGCCAGGTGAAAAATATAATGCAGTAGAAAAGCATCACATCTTAACCAACAACAGGGAGAAGCAAAATCATCTGCATCTCTAGTCAAAAGGGTCAATCCTTGGGTCGTGCTCACTTGCCATAGCCATCCCTGTACAAAGACATGTAGGGCACATGACCTACAAAATAGAAAGGCGCATGAGAAAACTCCAGCCCAAATTGAAAAACTTCGAAAGACAGGTTAAAATTCACACACATTGTATTAGACCACATACCTAATACTAGCACAAGGAAAAGCTATTCTCCCACTAGTATACAATCAATCAAAAACTGAATATATGAAACCAAATTTCCAGGAGCTAACCTTTCCTGCTCCTGAACAGTTCGGGCATCTTTCAGTTTTAGGTGGCGACAGAGGCTGATCCCCGCCATTAAGTGTTGAGACTGGTTCAATAAGAACAAGTGCTCCTGAGCTTGAACAGCGAGCACAAGCAAGATAGCCTGCATCAATCAGATAACCAGTTTATAAGTGCCCTGTACATTCCTCTGTCCTAATATTAAAGATTATCAACTTGAATCATAGGTTGTTTGTTGGTCATATTCTGAGAGAGAAAGAAAACATGCTGACCAAAAAGGTAAATTGTAAACATTCTAATTCGGGAAAGTTGACGTTAGTGGGGAACTATCCCTGTGGGAAGTCAAGGAATGATGAAGATAACCCATTTGGCAGCCAAGAATATGTTAAGACTTTCCACCAGGATTACGGGTCTTGCCAATTACATAACAATTGAGGAATTAAAAAATCCTGGAGGGTATAGCATGATATTAAGCAAAACATAGCAACCATTTTAAAAATTTTCAACCACGCCAAACAAAGATACTAAAAGGCATATGCGACTTAAATTTGTGTTTCAACATGCATACCTGTTCCAAGACAGTACTTGCATCTTTTATGCTCCTGCAGTTTTACATTATTTATTTCAACTACCATCAATGCTGAGATCACCCCAACAGCTCCACCAGAGAATGATGCCACAATAGGGTCAACCTGACTAAATTTTCCGGAAAAAAAAAAAGAAAAGAAAAACTCCTAAGTATGTTAAAAACTAAAAGCAACATTGTATTTACATAATTTAAGATAAATGTAGTGAATAATTACATATGGTTCTCATTCTATAATTCTGAAATATTAAGAACCCTTTAAATTAATTTTCCACTTTTACATATCCATCTATGATAGCAAAATGGATGAAAAACACTCTTTTCATGTTCCACTGAGAAAGAAGGTTGACAGAATCAAAGCACTGAAATTTATAGATATCTTATGGGATATATCTTGAAAAAGTATTGTCAAAAGTAACATGAAAGTTCAGGAGTCCTACCCTAGCATCCCCAAAAAGTTAGGAAGCCCATTGATGTTTGACAATCAAGTAGCCACCAGACATCTTCAAATGTATTGAATGCTTGTTAGGTCCTGAATCTTGAAGAAACCATTTTCTACCGAAATGCATAACATCCTATGCAAATCGGTACAATTTTAAATGCTTCCATCAACCTTAAAGCACAGAAGAATCCTTTAGAATGGATCCAATGCCAGTCATACTACATTTGTAGATGGAAATGAACCTAACAGAAGTCAAAACTTCTTTACTTCTACACGAGGCAACAGCTCATATAGTTCCATTTATCTTAAATATATCGTACCAATTTGGTTCTGGAGAACAGCAATCTTAAAGCATTTAAGAGATGCCTAGTTTAAGTTCTCTATTTGATTCACATATGAATTATTACTGATTTTTTCCAAGTTCAATATCTCGTGAACAACCTTCCACAGAATCTTTCCTTTCAATTTCTCAAAAAAACATTCAACCTACCCAGGAAGTCTGAAGGAACCAAATGCAGAAACAACAAGCTAGTCAATATGCATTGTCCAAGTCAAAAAAAAGGCAAATCAGATTTTCTTTAAAAAAAAGGAAGGAACTAAAAACAAAGGGAAATGAAGTAATAACACCCCACAATCACACATACCTCAACTGCATGGGCAGATGCATGTTACGGATAAAATCTTCATATGATGTGCCTCCTAGTCCCAGTTTTAGCTCCAGCTGAAAGAACAAATCAAAAAGAAAGTGCAGGGTAAGAAACTAGATGGGCTTCATATCATTGTAAGAGCCATCATAATTTCAAATTGTTATAACACAAAGAATCTGATAGACATCACCAATTCTTGTAACAGTGATTCAACTATTCAAAACGGAAGACAAAAAAAACTGCTGAAAGTTGCTACATTGTAAAACTTGAGTATCTGTTCTTCCAACATTACAGGTTTTTATTCATTAGCTTGACCCTGATTTTATTACAATTTACAGAGGAAGGGTACAAGGGGTGAAGATATAAGCAGTTCAAATTAGCATGGCAATGTAATATGAGACCTATCATCAACTACATAGCCAAAGATCATCTTCAGCTACATTCTGACGGTGATCCAAATTCATGAATAGAGAAACACACCAAACAATATTCCGCCCTTCCTATAACTAACAACTGTCACTAACTATATCAGAAGCAGTTCCGCCTTTATCACTATTGTATTCTTTCTAGTTAATAGGCTTCCAAGTTCCAAAAATTGTTTTGATTTTTCCTACTTTTGCACTTAGCCACGTGTCACGAAAATTCAAATCAACATTAAAAACACACTCTTTTGGACTTAGAACAGAAGGGCACCAATGTAGTGAACGACACATAATTTAAGGGACATCTGCAGAAAACCTTTGTACATAATCTTGTCGCTTCTTTTGCAGTACAGTAGTGGAAGGCAATATCATATGTATGACATTATCCTTTGCTTTTTATAGACACGTAATCTGCTTTCAAGCAAAGAGAACACAACAAAGCTTCCTAGGTCATCTTTTGGATAAAAGTAGATTTCAGTGAGTTCTTATTGTGCTATCTAAGCCCATATCTTCTCTGGTCCTATACAGTTGGGACACCTTCAACCTGAACAATATTGCCTTCCTTCTAAATGACCACACTATCTTAACCAGCTTCCTTCCATCTTGTCTGGAACTGCATCAATATTCCACTGATTCTTCCCTTATTCAGACTCTAAGCCATCTAGCATATTACCAGCTACAGTCATGTTGATG